CGAGATACTAGTCACGTGACCTCGCTAACGCAACAATATTCTACAACCTTGGAGAATTGGCGGGAGTTTCACCATACGTAACTAACACGGTAAACTAGGCACGTTTTTACATATCAACTCACTCGCAACAAACGTTGTCATTAAAATAAATATACAACAAATTCGTTACACGCAATACATATATGACACTATAAGTTACGCATATTTTTAAATACAAATTGAATCTAAACAACGTTCATATTAAAAAATAAACCACATAACAATAAATTCGTTATACACTGTATGATCCCAGTCCTGCAATTAAAATGTGGAACACTGCTAAAAACAGAAGGATGAGGCTTTCACAACCATACAGAGAATTAAAAATAAATGTGTAAATTATGTGTGTTTTTGTAGTACCTTCTTGTGTCCAACTACGTAATAATATAATACTGACACATTCAAACTCTTCTAAATGATTAAGTCAATACATAAACCAGCATACAGATACTTGTCCATGATACTGATCATGGCAAAAATTATCTGGAGCACTGTATATTTATATTCAATACTTCAAATGTTATATGTGAATATATATATATATACACTACATGTTTTTTAGGTTATATTGGATTCATTACTAAGTAGTTTCAAACTCGTGTACAAGAGCAGTAAAGTGTGAAGTCATCATTTTGCAACATTAGAACTATGCACTAAATGAATGTAAAGAGTCAAGTTCTTACAAGAATGAATAATGAGCAAGAATTGTGAAATGAAAGAAAGTCTGTCAACCTAGGTTAAATGCACATTTGTTACTACTCTGTATTGGGTGTTAGCAGCTATCCATGCACTATGCTGCAAAGTTATGATTTCTGCCAAATCATCCCACTTAGAATTGTATAGATGCTTTATTGAAATAGACAGTCTGCTGTTTCACCTTCCAGTTCCTGTTCAGGCATTGCTGAATGAGTTATGTCTGATTTTCAAGACTGGTTCTAATTTCTCTGTGAGATCTTGTCAATAGCTTCTTGGCTAAAGCTTTGGAATTAATAATCAGACTAACAATTTTTTTCTGTGTTAATCCTTAAATTGTTCATAGTTTCTTTAATTTGCACATCTTTCTACCTAGAGTAGGCTATCAATGTGTAATAATGTGACATTAAGTTCACTAAGGCCCATACCTTTCTTTCCTGCCATTGGTGAATAGAGAAATGAGAGCAACATTAAAAATATATTTGATTATGTGTATTTCATCATGAGACATCTTAGCTAATCAATGTTTTGATGGCCTTTGCTGCACCATGAGACACCTTAGCTAAACAACCTATTTATGGACTTCTGCACTATGAAACACCTAAGCTAATCAATCTTTTCATGGACTTTGCTACACCATGCAACACCTTAGCTAATCAACCCTTTGATGGATTTGGCTGCACTCCGAGACATACAACCTAATCAACTTATCAAGAGCTAAAGTAGTACATTATAGACTTCAAAAACAATTCTACTAAAAACTCATTATGATGTCTAGTTGAAAATACCTTTCAATTGTTATCAGTGAAGAATTTTAAACTGGATCTCTTAAGTATGTAGCCTTTTCTGTGCAAATATTGTTTATGAATAACAATTTTCTTCACCAATCTTATAAGTACCATTATCCATTTCAGACTGGTACCTTGGTTCACAGTTTTTTTTAAGAGGATATGTT